TCTGATGCGACTGTTGAAATCGGCACATTTAGCACGTCTCGAGCCGTGACCGAAAGAAATTCCTTTGTGCGAGGTTCTGCTGACTTTTGCAAGTAGAATTGAAGTTCATCAATATTCCTGCTACTGGTTTGTTGATGGCTTGATGCTCCTCTAATGTAGACCAAATCAAATAATCTTCAACACCATCATTATCATCCAAAGTACTGGTCCCAGATGTTGAAACTGAACTTGAAGAAATATTTGCATCTACAATAGAAGAAGCATCAACAATGTTAGCATAATAATTATATAATGTTTCTAAATGTTTGTGTAGATCAGAAATACAAGTGTCAATATCAGAAGTTTCAGTTGGTCCAATATCCATATAAGAATATAAAGCAGTGATTAATTGGTGACAAGTGGCCATTTTGATAGAAGAGTTTAAAATAGCACCAATTAGGTAAATAGGGGGAATTTGGTAGAAATATTTTTTAAACTTATCTAGCATAGATTCAACAACAGAAGTATATCCTTCTTTCTTCTTCAAATTATGTAGTAAAAGAGAAATTTCAGCAATATGAACTAAACCATTTGCTAGGATGATTTGCAATATTTGAATTTGACCGTTGGCAACTGTCCAAAAAAAAAAACTGTTAAAAAACGGGCTGAACCGGGCTGTAGCCCGTTAAAAATCCGTTAACGAGTTAACGGGCTTAGCGGGTTCCGGTGCACCGGTATAAAAAAATTATTCGTTTGAAACCCACTCCCCGCCCAACCCGTCCCAGTCCGCCCCCCACGCTACAGTACCGGGTTGACCCGGGCTGGACCGGGTTGTAAACGGGTCAGCCCGGCCCGATTAACAGGTATAGTTGAACCTGTAAAATTTATATACTTGATTTACCTCTTCATAATAGTGCACCCATCTTTTCAAAATCCGTAAAAAAATTGTAATATTCAACACTAAATATCTCACTCATGTGGGAATTATAATAAAACAAAAAGAACGCATTATATATAAGTATTGATATTGTTTAGGTTATTCATACAAGAAGAGATCCTATTAAAAGTAAAAAATAAAATTTCTATACAAATAGGAAGGAACTTGAGTCAGTACGTTATAATAAGGGATACCAGCAATTTTAAATTAATCACAGCATATTCTTTTAACAGGATAATTGTTTATGCTCAGCATTGCCACATCTAGCTCAATCATCTTTTTAATCTAGCTCAATCATGTCTTTTACTAATCCAGTGTAATATTTTTCTAGAAATGCAAATTAATTCACATTTTATTGCTTAAAATAAATAAACCGTATTCTCAATAAATAACATATAACAATTGCGACTGAAAAAAGAAAGAGAGGGAGAGAGACTTGCATGGTTTAGGAACATCATGATTTTCAAGATCGATATATTGATATATTGAAATAAAGGCGAATGCATATGATTTCAAGGGCTAGGTTGAACCTACATTTGATACGAAACTTAGATATACAAGTATGTGAGAAATTATTTTAAAAATTAAATTTTTAATAAATATTAAATTCTTAACCTATTATTTCAAAACTTCAGTAGGATCCGGCCGGTAGTAAGAATATAAATATTAAACTCGTCAAGTTTAAATATTGAAATTATTATTGAACCCATGCCTATTTGCAGGGACGTATCCATTGTAGATGATATGAATTCATGCGAATTCATAGTTTTCGTTCATACCCTATGTGTTTGCCTTAAAAATTATATTAAATATGTTTAAATAATAAATTTTGAACCGATTAAATTAGATAAGATGCGGTAGTATTACGCATTTGAATCCACGTAACGTTCAAATGTTGGATGCCTATTTTGAAAAAAATGGCATACGAAAGAGTATTTGAAGATGCATGTGAAGTTGCCATGCACGTCAACGGTCGACAGTTTTTGGGCTTGCTGTACTTACGCGGTAACAGCTAAATTACAGTTTCTCTTTTTCTATTTTCTAGGACCCCCCTCCCCCACCCAAACCAAAAAAAGAAAATGGTAACTTCTATTCTAGGATACAATAACGATTTCTCTCTCTCTCTCTCTGTTTGTCCTATATAATTTTTTATTTTCTTTATTTTTTTATTTTTTAGTCCTATATAAGTTGAGTTTTGAAAAACATTGGATTAGTCAAAGAAACAGCATGTGCCATTCTGTTTTCTGGGAATACTAAGGTGGTAATTGACTCTTTCCACTCACCAAAAACATGTGATTGTAGCCTTGTATTCTTCTTTACAGATTCAGAGAACGCTTTTCTCACTTTAGGGAGAGATCAAGTTTTCCAACGTGGTTTCTGGTCAGGTGGAGAGGGAGAGCAGAACATATGTGTTCGACCTAACCCAGTACTTTAATTTTGGTCCAAATCATATATTTATTTTAAAAATTCATTCAGTATATACAAATTATTAATCAAGAACCTAATAATTTAAAATATTTAATTTAAAATTCGAACTCAATACTTCGCTTATGTTTCTGATCAGTGGTCCAATGTGGGGTAATAGTCATAGAGTCTAATAGTATGTTTTTTGGTTCTTGGGTCAAAGTGGGGTTGGCCGCAATCCATAATGTTCACACGCTAAAAGTGGAAAGTGATTTTGAGTTTTTAGCCTGAAGAAGGTTTCAACTTGGAACTTTTGTAAGAAATGATTTGGTGTGAAACCAACCAATTTCATGTTGGANGGGTTTTGAAAAACATAGGATTAGTCAAAGAAACAGCATGTGCCATTCTGTTTTCTGGGAATACTAAGGTGGTAATTGACTGTTTCCAGTCACCAAAATACATGTGATTGTAGCCTTGTATTCTTCTTTACAGATTCAGAGAACGTTTTTCTCACTTTAGGGAGATGTCAAGTTATGTCAAGTTTTCCAAGGTAGTTTCTGGTCAGGGGCAGAGAGATTAGTAGAACATACGGGTTCGGCCTAACCTAGTATTTTTGGTCCAAACTATCTATTTATCTTAAGAAATTTATTAAATATATACAAATTATTAATTTAAAATTTAGTAACTTAAAAGATATAAAATCTCGAACTCGTAAATTTCAAATTGTGGCTCCGCCTCTAGTCAATGGTCCAATGTGGGGTAATAGTCCTAGAATCTAATATGTTTTTTGGTTCTTGGGGTCAAAGTGGGGTTGGCCGCAATCCATAATGTTCACACACTAAAAGTGGAAAGTGATTTTGAGTTTTTAGCCTGAAGAAGATTTCAACTTGGAACTTTTCTAAGAAATGATTTGGTGTGAAACCAACCAATTTCATGTTAGGACTTCTACTTCGGTCATTATTACGCAATTTTTAAGTAATATTTATAACAACTGTATTCCTAGGGTCATTAGATTTATAGTGCTCCAAAACTAAATTAATCAATCATATGAGCTACAAATGAAAGCGACAAGACAAGTATTAGAAGTCAAAATCTAAGTCGTGTACATTTTAGTTTAAACGATGAGAATATGTTATTTATTTATCTTCTTTTCTCAAATTATCAAATCACATTTATTTGACAGGAAGATGTGGAGGTAGAGAATTAGATTAAAAACTAGTAGGTAGTCAAGCATAAGTTTTTCATACATGTAGTATCAATGTTATTCCTATACTTTTCATACATGTAGTATCAATGTTATTCCTGTACTTTCTTATATTTAGATTTCTAGTACTATCGGTTGTTTATGTTGCTTCTATTTCCTTATTAACTTGCTGTTGTAATTGCATCTTTTCCATTACTGTATCCATTATTGTATTAAACAATGTTATGACTATATATGTTTTTACTGAGTCGAGGATCTATCAAGACAACTTTTTTACTTTCACAAGATAAGAATAAAATATGCATGTACACTATTCTTCTTAGACCCCAATTGTGCGAATACACTGGGTTTGCTATTGTTGTTATCAAATCATATTTATTGTAGAAAATTTACGCATATTATTTTTATTTTGGAACGGTGTAATTAGTTAGAAAAATATAGAGTAGAAAAACTACTGGTTTAAAAATTAGATATATTTCAACTTTCATACATAGCTGTAACAGTCAGTAATTTCTTAGTGCAATTAAAGGAACACACCCTATTCGTAAAAATATTAGGAAAAAGAAGGAATGTTAGCAACATTAAGACTGTCTCATTCAAATCCCTTACCACCAGAATTTTAAAAGTTTTCTTACTGCAATTCAGGTTAAAGGAATATGGTTAATATTTAATTACTGCACTGACCCATTCTTTTTAACGAAGATGTTACAAACTGTCATTCCAACTAAAATGTTTTTTGTTCACTTTCATGTTTCTGAGTGTTTTGAATTACTTTAATCATTTCATTTTTGTCTTTTTGCAAACTATAGTGCGAGTTGAGTAGAAACTGTAATCTAGATAACTTCATTTTTTTTTTTACACATTTGCTTCAGTTAATTTTAGGTATAGAGTAACTGGTCCAAGGAGGGAATGGCCAATTGGCCATAGGGAAAGAGAATATAATGGTTACATCTGAGAAGATGACAAAAATAATCCCTTATGTTTGAGGGTAGGGTCAAAGTAACCCTTTAAGTATATATTAAACAGTTTTAGTCCTTCAAGTTTGCTAAAAGTTAACACTTTTGGTCTCCATTAATATTTTTGTATGTTCGATTTCACGGGAAATGTAAAAAAATAGAGGAAATCACATTTAGAGGTACAACTTTTGTAATTTTTGCTACTTTTTTTATCCATTTCTAAAATTTGATTCAGCTTTTTGAGGTATATTTTCTACTGTTTTTTGTATTTTTTTTAGTGTCTATTGCAATTTTTTGTGTTACATTTTTTACAATTTGATGGGACCGTCCTAGTGTTTAGGGTTAATTTTTTTCTTCCACAGCTTTCGTCAAATCTAACAAAACATAAATTGTTAAACTTTGCAGAGACCAAAAGTGTTAACTTTTGACATACTTAAAGGACCAAAACTGCTCAGTACATACTTAAGGGACCACTTTGAACCTAACCTCAAACATAAGAGACCATTTTTGTAGTCCATTATGAGCAAATTTGGAGCCATTTTAACAGGAATGTTAAATATTTACATTCTTAAGATCATTTCCACATTCCTTTGAAATCAAAAGTATATTGCTACAACATTTCCTATCCATTTTGAATAAAAGGAAACGATCACAGGACAGGAAAAATACATATAACCAGATGTATTTTTGGTCCGGCACTTATGTAACTTCTTTCCGGAAGAGGACATTGGGACTCAAAATGCATAGTCCAACTAGCTTTCCTTCAAAAAAGAAACAACCAACATCATCTCCACTTCAATATGAATACTGAGTAACTTCACAAATAGCACTTCAATCTTCAACTTTCCTCAGCTGGAAGATCAGCTCAAGTAAGAGATTTGCCGGCCCATTCCCTTTCTCGTCGCTTTTGCTTGGCCATCATTTTATTGAACTTCTCTTTTCCTTTCTCCAGTAGAGGATCGTGTACCACATAATCGTTGGGGTCCTCAGTACGAGACATTTTATCCTGCCGATGAAACCAATAATTTAAAAAGGAGAAATGAACATAATAAGCATGAAGGTCTTGGGGATTCACATTCAAATTCAGTGAAGTTTGATTCCTATTTAATCTTCACTGCCCCCGACCCCCACCCCAAAGCAAGAAACTCCAGAAAGCAAGCACGTATAGAGCCTAATAATGAAGAATCATGCTTTTCATAAGTTTCCAACCATCCTGAGAACAAGTTATTGAACAAGTACCTTTCCAGGTTCAGGAGCGAATTTTAGTGTAACTGCTGCCCAATCGGATAACTCTTCCTCCTTGACAGCATTAGTAGATCCATTGGCTTTAGCAAAAAGTCCAGACTTAAACTTCTCCAGTTTTGCCAGCACCTAACAGACATACAAAAATAATGAGCAAACTGCAGAAACGCATAGAATAGAGAAAGCTGCCAGCAAGAACACATATCCATTCCATATAAGTTCAAACTTAAATCAGCCTGAATCCATAGTTAACGTCTTTTAACTATTACCGAGAAAACTCAACATGGAAATTTTCCTACATATTGGAATTAACATAGAGACAAGATTTCAGATATTTTTCATTTAAGATGTTTAAACAACATTCAGAAAATGGAAGAACTCCTGTAACAGAGACCATGGATGAACATCCATTAAAAAGGGATCCAACACAAACCCTGTAAACTATGCAAAAGCAAAAGATATAATGCATCAAACATAGAAAACGAAAATCAAAGAAAATTTAGTTCATTTTGTCNCAAACATAGAAAACGAAAATCAAAGAAATTTTAGTTCAATTTGTCCATACTGCCACAGCAAAAAAAAAAAGAACCCTAACTGCCACATGTATCAAGAGGGACATAAAATGGAAGAAATCGCTCTTGGTTCAACACAACAGCGAGTTTTCCAGTAGTCACCAACTTTTTTTCTTTTTCTTTTTTTGGTGGGGAAGGAGGATGGGCAAGTATATATACGCAAACGGATCCATAAAGGCACATCTCGTTCAGTGAAGCTTTGTTTCATCCCCAAAATTCCTTCTATTCAGAGGGAGAAAACTTTAAGTGCCCGTGTCTGTGGGCGCTCCTGGGGTGGATGGGTGGGGGTATTTCCAATCCCTGGATATCATCTACCTTAACTAACATTAGTGTCTTAAGCTCAATAAAGGATGCGCATTTGTATGTGTCAGCCTGTATGTGCATTCCCATAGTCTACCTCCTACAGATAAAGTCCCCTTTTTACTTACATCAATAACCCTTTTTGTTTTCTTTTTTGTTTTTTGTTCCCCATAAAAAATAATTACAAAACATAAACCAGAAAAGGAAAATCTAACAGTATTTAGAGGCATACGTCTTCCTCGTGTCCTTTTCGTCCTCGTCTTTTTTGCTTTAGCAGCTGTCTTTCTCGTTCAGGGCCAGACAACAACTGTAAGTCTGTATCTGCATTGGCCATACGTTCAGCCCTCGCTTCAGAGCCTATTCCTTTTCTCTTAAGAGCCAACTTATCCACTTTTGGCCGGTCATCGTCATGTTCAGCATCAGACCTACTAAAATCAAATTATGATCATTGAGCTGCAAACCTGCAACTAATGAGCTTTCAAATATGTTGAGGGAAAGAGAAGCACAAATTTTATGTTAGAAAAAAAGTTATATAAAGGATTTTCTCAAGATAGTCATCTTTTGCACCAGAAGAGAATATAGTTCTGAATGTAATCTGTAAATCAAACGGTTCATTATGTGGCATGAGAGTGCATACAACCTAAACCACTCGAAATCAAACCACAGTTTAATTAGTGTGACATTAATGGCTATCAGTATCCCAATCTCAACCATGCATCCTTGGACACATGGCAAGCAACAAATTACTCGAGAAAAATAGCGTGTCAGCAAAAAGGAGATGAAAAAAATACTAAAGTCATCCTAGGTCAGATAACCTCATCTTTGACCACATCTTTATTTCCTAGTTATTTCAACCTTTTCATCTAACCGTGCCCATACCAAGATGCCTGATGGTATCAATAGGAACGAGCAGGCAGTGAATTATTACCATAAAGTAACAATTGTACAGATTTCGTGAGAACGTCCCCAATATATAAGTGGTATACCAATCGAAATGAACCTATGCCAAAATATAGTTCTCCACAATCATCTCTACTAATTAGCACCTCATGGGTGCTTCAAGAATTTAACAGAAAACAAAAGGCATACCCTCATTTGTACAAAAGCATTTTCCACCCTTTCAAAAGGAGATGCGCCAGCAAACAAGGCTTTCCTTAGCATACAACATGTAATATAGAAAAGAAGTAAATCCATCATCTCAATCAAAGTTTGAAGCCTTTTCTTAACCATGCTATCCAATTTACTAAATTTCTCATATTTAAGCTTCAATAACTTCCTATTTCACAACTTAATATTGTCAGTAACCTGCTATCCAACAAACAGTAATAAGTGTTAATTTACAGGTCGTCCACCCAAAAATGCTTACATTGCTCAGACCGAGACTCCAGGTAACCAAGGATTTTCT